AGTAGAAGAGAGATAAATTACGTGAGACGGAACTGGTGAAAGAGCTTTTTTTTTACTAAAACATTACTGATTTTCTTCTATACTTTGATTTTCATATTTAAGGATTTTTGTCTTCTCTTGAACTGTTGATAGATTCATCTACCTACTACTTGAATTGAATCCTAACCTTTTTCCTGGCTTTAAGTCTTAAGCAAATTTCTCATAACATTTTTTTTTATTTTGATCTATTAAAACCAAAACTGTTTTTCTTGAAATTAAAAAAACACATTTAAAAAATGCTTATTTATTGACTATAGTAAGCTATATAGCCCCAGCTAAGTGTTGCCTTTTTTTTTTTTGGAGTTGCCTTTTTTTTTTTGGAGAGGTTTTTGCTATAGGGAACGTGCGCTCACCAGAAAGATAGAGAGACAGAAAGACAGAAAGCAAGAAATCACCCTCAGGGGGGGATGGTCATGCTGCAATCCCTTCTCCTCCATTCTCCTCTCGGGATCTTGGGCATGCATGCACACACGCCCAGCGTGAGTTTAGGCCTCTGGGTCCAGGACTTGAACTGCCATTGACTATATGGGAGTCCAGCGACATAGCCATTGTGCCAACTGCTGGTCCCTCAGTGCTGCTTTACAGTATGCTCACTTTACTCACTGAGGTTTATGCCTAACGTCAGATATGTGTTCATAGATATGTATATATCAGCTGTGCTTGCTATTGAAAGATTTTAATTAAGATCTTTAGTGAATCAATAAAATGTGTGTGTGTGTGGGGGGGAAGGCATGGAAAACAACTATAGATACCAGAGACAGTGTGGGAAGAGGGTGGGAAATGGCAGAAAATGAGAGGTAGGAAATCAAGGGGGGGAGGGGACAAAATATATAAGAAACTAGAAATACAAAATTATTTGTTGATGATAACATGTATGGATGTATGGTAATATCCTTGACTGAGCCAATATACAGTGTATTTTGGATGGAAAATCTCATTTGTATACTGTATTGATTACAATGAATGAATATAAATAAAAAAATTAAACTTTCTTTGGAAGGTCTCATTTGTTTTTTCATTTATCAGCTTCCCTTCAGTTGTACTTTTTTCTCTCCTTTTAGGACTTCTATTATATGAGAGTTTCTATTTTACATCCATCTATTATATCTTGTAGCTTGTTTATTTTTCAGCTCTTACTCATTCCTCGTGTCTCATGGGGAAGTTTCCTTTTTTTTTTTCCTTCAAAAGAGAGCATTTTGTTATTTGTATGTACAGAAAACTCAACAGCCTACACTTAACCCACTTTGGTGTTGTGCTCTTTAACCTTTGTCTTTTCCAGCTTTGCCATGCCAGCCACAGAATTCGGGCCCAGGACATTGCCTCCCCAGTGGCAGCGAATCTCATCATATCTGTCATTGTAATTGGTCTGATGGCTTCCACCAGCTTAGCCAGGGCACCTTTGTCCTCCTAGTTAACCTGTGTGAAGGCAACGGTGGTGCAGTTTTCCTGTGGACCAGGCTCCCAGCCTGGCCTCCCCCTGGATAATGCACAGGGAACCCCCATCTTCTGACACAGGGGAGGAGGAAGACAATCAGCTCGATGGGGCCCACGTCATGTACAGTCACCACCAGCTGGGCCTTCTTGTTCTTGTTCACCGAGGTGGTGATGGTGTTGACCCCTGAACAGCCTCTCAATGGAGACATCTCCTTTGCTGTGGCTTTCTTCTCAGCCCCAGCCAGCAGGTGCTGCTGCTTTTCCTGCTTTGTCTCTGCCCTGTACTTGGCCAGCTTGAGCAACTGAGTAGCTGTCTGGTGGTCCAGGGCCTGGGTGAGCTGGTTACTTGCAGGAGGCACTTTCAGCTGCTTGTAGAGGATGGCCCCTCTGCCACTGCAGTGCGGTGTAGCGGGGCCATTTGACGAAGCTGGTCAGGTCCTTTTTGGGCTGGATGTCATCCTGTTTGATGCCAAAATTCTTAGGCTTACGCCTTTTCTTTCTTTTTCTTTTTTTTTCTCTTTTTTTAAGAATTATTTTATTTAACTTTTATTTATTATTATCATTATTATTTTCCAGTTTGATCAGAGAGAGAGAGAGAGAAAGGAAGTGAGAAAGCAAGCCACCAGGTCCGAGACTTGAACCGTGGTTGGCCATGTGGGAGTCCAGCGCCCCCAACCACCATGCCACCTGCCGGCCCCATAGGCCTTTTCTTAAACGGAATTGACCGCCTTCTTAGCCTTCTGCTTCTTCATGACAGCACAGGCTGAAGCCACCTTCTTCCCCTTGGCCTTCTTTCCCTTTGGCATCTTGGGCTCCTGGAAGAGAGACCTCATGGGAAAGTTTCTTGACCTGATCTGTTTTGCTGTTGCTCTCATCTAATCAGTTTATTTTGGCTGTGGTTCGAATATACAACAATCCTATTTGGTTCTTTTTTTTTTTTTTTTTTTTTTTTTGGGGGTTTTTTTTTTCGGGTGTTTTTGAGAGGTTTTTGCTATAGGGTGCATGTGCTCACCAGACAGACAGAGAGAGACATAGAGACAGAAAGTGAGAAATCACCCCCCGGGAGGATGTCCACGCCGCAAGCCCTTCTCCTCCATTCTCTTCTCTGGATCTTGGGCATGCACGCACACGCGCCCGGCGTGAGTTTAAGTCACCGGATCCAGGACTAGAACTGTGGTCAACTACGTGGGAGTCCAGCGTCATAGCCATTACGCTAACTGCTGGTCCCCTATTTGATTCTTTATACCTGTTTGTTTCTACTGCATTACCAATATCCCCTTTTATTTTGAGGGGGGACATTTATTTGGCTGTGTTCTAGTCTTATCATCTAGAATAGGTTATTCAACTTATTGCCTTTCTAGTTGTCCGTTTATTTTTACTTGTAAGGCCATTTTTCCTCATGGGTACCAGCTATCTTTGTGGGTGATGGATGAAAAAAGGGGTGGGAGGAACCAAAACCTAGGCCTTAGCTTACGCTGTTCCTGGTGAGTTGCGGGTCCAGCTTTGAATATCCTCATGTGTGTTGCTCTCATCAGAGGGCTTTGTCCCTTAAGAAATCTCTTTGAACTTGAAATTTCTCCCAAAATCTAACCCCATGTTGGCAACTTGGCCCTCTTCTATATAGGGTTACTATTTATCCTCTTTACCAAAGTGGGGGGAAAAAAAAGAAAAGGAAAGGATAGACAAAGTAATGTATATACATGAAAGAGAACAAACCAGGAATTTACTGAAACAGTGAAATTTACTTTCATTTTGCCCGAATTTAATTTTGTAGTCACTTGGGAATCTTCTTCAACCTGGAAATGAGACAAGAAAATTACTCTTATTACAAATCACTTTAAATACCTTTGTGAGAACGTTATTGAATCATAGGGGGAAATAAGAGTACTTCTAGAACTCACAAAGATAAACTAGTAAGATCAATACGTAATCTATATTTATAAGACAAATGAAGGAGGCGGAATGCCAGGACCAAAATCAGGAAGAGCAGGACTTGGCAGTTGCTTATCACTTATTAGATGGTATTCTTACACTTAGAGTTAGAACATGGCTTAAATATTGACAGTGGTTGTTATTTCTGGGTATGAACTTGCCTATATTTCCCAAATTTTCTACAGTGAACGTACATTACTTTAATAATGGAAAAATATCATAACTTTTAATAGAATTTTCATAGAAAAATAATTTTCATAGAAAAATACATAAATACACAAACTTATAAAGAATATTTGGTGCAACATTGTTCATAATGAAAAATATACAAATTTCTATTAGTACAATAGTTTAATAAATTATGATACATCTATACTGTCAGCAACCAGTAAAATCATGTAAGTCTATATTTATTAATAGAAAAATTTCAAAGATATATTATTAAGTGAAACACAAAACAGGTTTAAAGCATGCCCAGTGGCTGCAGGTGGTGTGGTGGTTAAGGTGCTCAGTCCCACATGGCCGACTCTGCAGTTCAAGTACTGGACTGGTAGTTTGAAAAGTCACTGGGCATAGAGGCCAGCATGGCTCGGTCCCACGTGGCCAACAACGGTTTGAGTCCCAAACCTGGGAGCTTGCTTTCTCTCTCTCTCTCTATCTCTCTCTGGTAAGCACACACGCCCTATAGCAAATTTAAAATAATAATAATAAATAAAAAGAAAAATAGACTGGGCGTGAGCATATATACCCAAAATTCTAAGAAGAGAATGGAAGAGAAGGGATTGCGTTGTGGTTATTCCTCCTTGGCAAGTGGGGGCAAAAATTCAAACCATGGTCACTGTGTGAGATCCAGCTTCTCCTGAGCACTGCATCACTGTTGTACCATGGAGCTGGCCTCCTTCTGAATTTTGAGAGTTCTTTGTAAGTACTGGATACAACTCCTATATTATATAAATGCTGTACAAGTACTCAGTCCTATCCTATGTGTTGTCTTTTAATTATTTTAGCAGTATTTGAAGAAAAATATTTTTAATGAGAAGGGGGAATTTTGGGGGGAGATAAAACAAAAGAAGCAATATTCTACTGTTCCTGGACCTTTGCACATATTATTCCTTTTGCTTGGCATTGTGGTCTCTTGGGCCTTTCCCACATATTGTATCTCAGAGCCTTGTTATAGCACCTGGCACATAGTAAGGAATTAATAAATATTTGTAAAAGGAAGAAAGGCAGAACAAAAATAGAGGCAGGTGAACACAACAAGCAGCTAATCTACCCCAAACTTATTATCTAAAATCAGCAAAAAAAGAAAAGGCTATGGCTGCATTGGGATAAGCCTTCAACCTCAGAGAGTATGGACACACAAAGTTGGAATGTTTCCCTCAGACTAGATGTAAGCCACACATACACGTATGACTAAAAGATGTGGGACTGTCTTGTGTTTTTTCAAGAAGAGAAGTCTAAATACTGCAAATATGGCCAACCAGTGGTATGGTAGTTAAGGCAGCTGGATCCCACCTGGCCTACTGCTTGGTTTGAGTCTTGGATTTGGCAACTTGAAAAACACCATGGGTACGTGTGTGTGTGTGTGCCCAGAAGCCCAACAGGAAGGAAAAATGGAGGAGATAGGATTGCAATGCAGCCATTCCCCATGGAGGGTGCTTCCACGCTTTCTCTTTCTCTCTCTCTTTCTCTCTCTCTCTCTGGTGAGCACATCCACCCTCTGATTTTTTTTTCTTTTTTTTTAGGTTTTTGCCTTTGGGTGCATGCTCTTGCCAGAGAAAGACAGAGCGAGGGCAAATGAGAAAGCATCCCCAAGGGCTATGGCCATGCCGAAATCCCTTCTTCTCTATTCTCTTCTCAGGATTTTGAGCATGCACACACATGTGCCTGGTGTGATTTTCAAGCTGCCAGATCCAGGACTTGAACTGCTGTCATCCATATGAGAGTCAAGCACTTAACCACCATGCCACCTGCTGCCCCTACCACCAGCAGGTTAATACACACACACATATTCATATATACATAGCACACACACATACACATATATATATTGCAGGGCCAGCACATGGCATAGTGATTGGGGTACCAGACTCCCACATGACTGACCACAGTTCGAGTCTCGGACCTGGTGGCTTGAAACTCATGCCAAATGCATGTGCGTGCGTGCTGTGCTCTAAGTCTTGAAAGGAGAATGGAGGAGAAAGGACTGCAGCATGCCATTCGCCCTAGGGGGTGATTTTTTTCCTTTCTCTCTGTCTTTCTGGTGAATGCATGTGCCCTATAGTAAAAATCTCTCTAAATGTTTCACTAGCCACACACACACACACACACACAGCAAACAATATCTCTCAGCAGGAAAAAGCTGGAGGTATCATAGGGTTCTCAGGGGTTGACAAAGGAATAAACATAATCAGTTAAAATATAAATATTTTTGCCTAGGAACAGCTATGGTGGCACAGGCAGTAGGGGTGCTGCTGTGTGATACTGGAGAGCATGTGGGAAGTTCTGGGTTAATGGCATGAGCTACCTGAACATAGCATGAACAAGGGTATGGCATGAAGACCCTGTCTAAAGCCTCCACCTCTGGCTCTCTCTCTCAGGAAATAAATAAATGTTAAAGAGAAGAAAAAGAAAGAAATTTACCTAGATAAAGCTAACTGCAGGTGAGAGATCTCCAGTGACAACAGTCTTCAAAGAATTCATAATATAACCCACGGAAGAGTCAGCTTTAAACATCTGCTACACACAGCAAGCAATGAGGTGAGGAAGTGTAAGAGTAACATTCAGTAAGGGCTTCTCCTTTCTTCTTCTTCTCTATCCTCCCTTCTCATAGCTCTAATTCCTTAACAAAACCATAGTAGAATGCTTTTGTCCACATTATGACTCATGTGAGTCTAATCTAACCTCAAACTGAACACCTATTTGTTTTAATATTCCTTTTTAAAATTTATTCATTTGTTTATTTTAATTTGACCAGAATGAGACAGAGAGAATGGAGGAGAAGGGATTGCGGCATGGCCATCTTTCCTGGGGGTGGGGGGGGTGTGATTTCTCGCTTTCTATCTCTCTGTCTCTCTCTGTCTGTCTGGCAAGCACACGCGCCCTATAGCAAAAACCTCTCCAAAAAAAAAAAAAAAAGATTTTTAAAAAAAAAAAAAAAGAGTTATTAAAAAAATAAAAATAAATAAAGTTGTTTTCTGATTTTAACCTATAACTTATGAGTCATACTTATTCAACATTTAATTTGCTAGGGTTTTTTAATGAACATCATATGCTAATGATATATGATTTTATATTATGTACATTATATACTCATAGTAATACTTTTGCTATTATTTTCATGTATTATAGAATTTTCAATGTCTTATTTCATGGCATATGCTGCCTGAACAAAATTGTGAGTTAATCTTCTTTCTTTCTTTTTTTGGAGAGGTTTTTTGCTATATAGCACATGCACTCCCTAGACAGACAGAATCAGAGAGACAGAAAGTGAGAAATCACCCCTAAGGGGGGATGGCCATGCCACAATCCCTTCTCCTCCATTCTCCTCTTGGGATCTTGGGTACGCATGCACACACACCCAGCCTGAGTTTAAGCCACAGGGTCCAGGACTCGAACCGCCGTCGATTACATGGGAGTCCAACGACATAGCCATTACACTAACTGCTGGTCCCTTAATCCTATTTATTTCAAGACTTAGATTTCACCAAAATAAAGTCAGACTGCTCCTGAGAACTCTTTCAGATTAACAAAAGTTTTACTTTCTGAATTTTTTTTTTTTTTGAGAGACAGATTTTTGTTATAAGGCACATGTACTCACTGGACAGACAGACAGAAAGCAAGAAATCACTCCCCCTGAGGGGATAGCCACACCACAATTCATTCTCTTCTTGGGATTTAGACATACACGCACTCAAACTGTAGTCAGCCATGTGGGAGTCCATCAATGCGTAATCATTACTCCATCTGTTGGTCTCAATTTTCTAAATTATTTTATTTATTTATTTATTTTTGAGACAGAGAGAGACAGAGAGATAGAAAGCAAGAAATCACCCCTCAGGGGGATGACCACGCCACAATCCTTTCTCCTCCATTCTTCTCTCGGGATCTTGGGCACACACACACATGTGCCTGGTATGAGTTTAAGCCACCGGGTCCAGGACTCAAACTGCGGTCGACTACATGGGAGTCCAGTGACAGCCATTTCACCAATGGCTGGTCCCAATTTTCTAAATTTTTAGTAGAGAATATTCAATAGTTTTCTGCCCTGAAAGAGGGAATACATTCACCAAAGCTCTTCCCTTCTACCAGAATAATTTCCAGAGGGTGAAATGAAAGTCTAATACAATAGATTTTGAAACTGGAGACTTACATGACCACTTTACCTATTTTCTTCATACCTCTGCAGTGTTTCCTGGGATATAAGCCCCTAATTTACCTCAAATTGAGTCTAGACATAAAAATTGTATTTAAGGTCATGTCATGGAATGATAATGTGGACAAAAACACTCTATTACTACTATTTCAAGGACAAATTCGTAAGGACAGAATTCAAAGTGGATCTGTATTGTATTATATCAGGTTCATGGTATTATAACTAGCTTTTTGTTTGTTTGTTTGTTGTTTAATATTATTCAATAGTGACATCTACAGGCCTGCAAAGAGAAGCATTAACAAACTAATGATGAAATTGTGCTATTTTACGACTGAGGTGACTCAGATCTAACTCAAGCCAAACACTTATTTTTGGTAACTTCCTGATACTGCAAGGAGAAAGTCAAGTTAGGGAAGCAAAAGGTATATATAACCAAAGGCCCAATTACGAGAGTGCTCCCACTCCTTAACTTACTGTGATTGAATGGATGCAAGAGATTTTCTGAAGGTAGACTGCACATCTAACTGGAGCAGCCTAGGAGTATCTGGGTACCCACCCAGCTGGGCCCAGAGTGAATGTATTGAGGCCTTTTCTGTTATTGGGTAGCTTGAAGTGGACAGTTCAGCATTCCAGATGGCTTCTGTCTGGTCTTCTTGTCTATAGAATTAGAGAACATTAATTAGAAATGTCAAACTCTCCTGCACGCCATACCTATAAAAATACTTGATTCTTGGGACCAGCAGTTAGCATAATGGCTATGTCGCTGGACTCCCATGTAGTTAACCACGGTTTGAATCCTGGACCAGGTGGCTTAAAACTCACGCCAGGTGCGTGTGTGTGCGTGCCCAAGATCCCGAGAGGAGAATGGAGGAGAAGGGGTTGTGGCATGGTCATTCCCCTGGGGGGCGATTTCTTGCTTTCTGTCTCTCTGTCTCTTTCTGTCTTTCTGGCGAGCGCACGCGCCCTATAGCAAAAACCTCTCCAAAAAAAAAAAAAGAGAAATATATGTAAATACATTTCTTGCTAAACTAGCTAAGGAAATTAATACTCTCTTAGACTCCCCACTATACCAGATCATAATTATGGGAAGGGGATGCATTGGGCAGGAAAAATATAATAAAATTAGGTATCATATATCATTCAAATAAAGCTTAATGTCAGTCTTTGTAACACAAACCTGAATCTCTTGATTATGTCATATTGTCTGTCCTCTTCTACTAGTAATTCTAGGAATGGCTGTTGAGCCAATTTAGTAGAGACAGGAATCTGCTTTTTGTCGATGATCAAGGGGGTAGGTTTACTAAGGTTCAATTTATGCAGCTCTTGGAGCTAAACAACTAAAAATAAAAACAAAATCAGAAAGAGGAAACCATGAAAAGAACCCAATTATTTAGGAAGGTCTTCTGAGCTGGCCCTAAACTATGACTCCTCCTTCTCCATGGACTTGCAAATATTCTTCTTCCTCCATGCCACCTGCAACACAATTTCAGAGGTAGCAGCTATGATATAAAAACCTTGGTCCTAGGGCCAGCAGGTGGTGTGGTGGTTAAGGGCGCTGGACACCCACATAGCTGACAGCAGTTGATGCCCAGATCTGGCACCTTGCTTTCTCACTTTCCCTCTCTCTCTCTCACTCTGACCCTCTCTGCCTAGTTAAAATAAATAAATAAATGAAGTTAAATAAAATCATTCTTTAAAAAGAAAAAAACCTTGGTCCTATTCAAGTTCCAGTTTTAGTCTTCTCACTTCCTATGAATCTTTGGATTTGTTCCTGAATTTATCTGTACCTATTTCTCTTCATTTCTAAAAGAAGGATAGAGAACCAGCAGTTAGCATAATGGCTATGTGGCTGGACTCCCATGTAGTCGACCGCAGTTCGCGTCCCGGACCCAGTGGCTTAAAACTCGCATTGGACACGTGTGCGTGCGTGCCCAGGATCCAGAGAGGAGAATGGAGGAGAAGGGATTGCGGTGTGACTATCCCCCCGGGGGGTGATTTCTCGCTTTCTGTCTCTATGTCTCTCTCTGTCTGTCTAGCGAGCGCACGCGCCCTATAGCGAAAATCTCTCAAAAAATAAAAAATAAAAGATAATAACACAGAGGTTTCTTTTTTTTTTTTGGAGAGGTTTTTGCTATAGGGTGCATGCACTCACCAGAGAGACAGAGAGAGAAAGAGAGATAGAAAGCGAGAATTCAGCCCCCCCCCCCCGGGGGGATGGCCACACTGCAATCCCTTCTCCTCCATTCTCCTCTCGGGATCTTGGGCACGCACACACACACACCTGGTGTGAGTTTAAGCCACCGGGTCCAGGACTCGAGCCACGATCCACTGCATGGGAGTTCAGTGACATAGCCATTATGCTAACTGCTGATCCCAACACAGAGTTGTTCTGAGAGTTGTTTAAGATGATATATATGGATACACTTTATAAATTGTGGCACCATGTATAAATGTAATGATAGCTGTCATTTACTGAATGCCGGTATTGAGCTAAACATTTTCCTTATGTCAACTCATTTGGTATTTATAACAATGTACTATTATTATCTTTGTCTTACATAGGAAGACTCTAGTTCAGAAAACTGAAATGACTTTCCTAAGATCACTTAACTCATATGTAATGAGGCTGATTCAAACCCAGTCTAGGAGCAGAGCCAACCCTCTTGACTACTACCCGATTTAGTGTGAGGTCATTATTCATAGCTACTCTCCTATCCTTTTTACTTTTCCTCTCCTTTCTTTATGTTTTGATACCTATAGTTATCATCTATATTCTGGCTTCCCTGACCCCAGATGTTTATCCATTCTCTGAATGTTCTATACATTGTGATTCCTAGTAGATAGCTCATGTCACTGCCAACCTATCTTTATTCCATCTATACTGACTGTATTTGCCAAATTCAAAACAGAGGTTTGGAGCTACCAAGTGGCATGGCAGTTAAGGAACTGGACTCCCACACGGCTGATCACAATTCAAGTCCTAGGCCTGGTGGCTTGCTTTCCCATTTAAAAAAAAAAACAACTTTTTTTTTAGAATTATTTTATTTTATTTATTCATTCACTTATTTTAATTTGACCAGAGAGAGACACAGAAAGAGAGAGAGAGATAGAGGGAAAGTGAGAAATTTAGCCCCCAGGTCCAGGACTTGAACCATGGTCAGCCATGTGGGAGGGTCCAGCACCTTAACCATCACGCCACCTGCTGGTCCCCATTTTTTTTCTTTTTGTTTTTTTAAACTTTATTTATTTTTTAAGAATTATTTTATTTAATTTTTATTTATTTATTCATTTATTTTCATTTGACCAGAGAGAGACACAGGAGGCGGGGGGGGGAAGGGGTGAGAAAGCGAGTTGTCAGGATTTGGGGCATGCATAAAAATGTGCCTGACATGTTCTTCAAGCTGCTAGGGCTGGGATTTGAACCACACTAGGCCATCTGGAATCTGACTTTCTTAACCAGTAGGCTTAGGGGTCAGCTCTCATGTTAAAGAAAGAAAAGGGTATGTAGTTATAAAATGTTTATAGAACTCCAGCTTGTGGAATTTATTATTAGAATTCTAGTTTGTGCTAGGGACTCCTAAATATATAATCACAGAACCCTTATCTCAGCTCTATAACCTTTTGGAAGGTCACTGTAACTCCCAAAAGCACATTGATGATTATCTCAGAGGGGTCCCTGGGTACAAGGATCTGCTGTGCCTGGTGCTGTGTAAGAAAGTTAAACAAACCCTTATTTCTTTTTTTATACCTCATAATATTAAAACATCCTGATAATATTTTTTAAAAGAATGATTTATTTTTTAATAAATAAGTAAATATCATTTATTTTTTAATTTGACCAGAGAGAGAGAGAGAGAGAAAGGGTAAGTGAGAAAACAAGTTGCCAGGTATGGGACTCACACCATGACTGACCATGTGAGAGTCCAGCACCTTAATCACCACACCCCCTACTGATCCCCATTGTGATCATTTTTTCAAAAGAATTATTTTATTTGGGACCAGCAGTTGGTGTAATGGCTATGTTGCTGGACTCCCATGTAGTTGACCACTGTTCCGAGTCCTGGCCAGGTGTCTTAAACTCACGCTGGGCGTCTGTGTGTGCGTGCCTAAGATCCTAAGAGGAGAATGGAAGAAAGGGATTGCGGCGTGGCCATCCCCTTTGGGGGGTGATTTCTCTCTTTCTGTCTCTCTGTCTCTCTGTCTCTCTCTGTCTTTCTGCCGTTCGCACGCACCCTATAGCAAAAACCTGTCCAAAAAAAATTATTTTATTTAACTTGATTTAATTATTTTAATTTGACCAGAGAAAGACAGAGTGAGAGAGAGAGGGAAAGTGAGAAAACAAGCCCCCAGGTCCAAGACTTGAACTGGAGTTGACCGGAGTTGGCCATGTGGGAATCCAGCACCCTTAACCACTATGCCACCTGCAGGCCCCATCCTGACAATCTTAAGGAGAGAAGTAACCACCCAATTAGTTAGCAGTGACTTTAAGAGTTTCCAGATCTGGAGTCTGGTCAGTGTGGATTGACTAGAAAGGAATTGAGCATTTCTGGAAGTCTCTCCTATGCTCATCTAGAGATCAAGCAAGTACTCCTACTGTCAATTCAGGAGTTTCACTAAAGTAAAAATGATGGAGTGAATTGAATGGCTTCTCATACACATACACACACAAATATATGTCCACTCAGAATTTGTGAATGTGGAAATAAGGATTTAGAAAAAGGGTGTTTGCAGATGTAATTAAGGATCTCAAGGTGAGATCACCCTGGATTACTCAGGTGGTTCCTAAATCCAATGACCTGTATCCTTATAATAGAAGAGAGGACAAAGTGGGAAGAGGACCATTTGAAGGATGGAGACAGAGACTAGAGTTAGGTGACTACAAGCTAAGGAATGCCACGTATTTCTGACAGTGACCACAATCTAGGAGAGAGATATGGGACAGATTTCTCCATCAGAGCCTCCAGAAGGAGCTAACCCTGTGAACACCTTGATTTCATGAACTTCTGGCCTCTAGAACTGTGAGAGAATAAGTTTCTGTTATTTTACACCATTGGGTTTGTGGTTATTTGTGACAGCTCTGTCAGTTTCCTAAGATATGTTTGGTCTGTCCAGGCAAATGTTATTTTCAAAGCTGACTACTTTCATGGTTTTAGGACACATTGAAAAGAGGGAATGGAAAACAGCTTACCTGGCTGAATAAGGGAATCATTTTTCTTAGGTTTTGGTTCCGTTTCTCCTCTAGAGACTTTAGCTTTTCAGTCCAGACCTGCATCACCTTTTTCTGGTAGTCATCAATTCTGTTCAGCATTTTGTAGAGGTCCTGGATCTCATAACCTTTCCCGGAGTTCCGGATGGCTTTTAATCGTTTGATTATGTTGTTTCTTAAAAAATTAACAGGAATTGTATTAATACAGTTATGAACCTAACTCAGCAGACCTGTCCTCAGTTTCTTTCCTTTTTTTTTTGCAGAGGTTTTCACTATAGGGCGAGTGCGTGTGCCAGACAGAAAGAGACAGAGAGACAGAAAGCGAGAAATCACCCCCCAGGGGGGATGGTCACGCCACAATCCCTTCTCCTCCATTCTCCTCTCAGGATCTTGGGCACGCACGCACACGCACCCAGCGTGAGTTTTAAGCCACCCGGTCCGGGATGTGAACTGTGATCAACTACACAGGAGTTCAGCGACATAGCCATGACACTAACTGCTGGTCCCAGTTTCTTTCAATTTTCATCTTATCCCTAGTAGAAGAAATGGGGTGAGAAGACCAGCAGTTAGTGTCATGGCTATGTTGCTGAACTCCCATGTAGTCAACTGTGGTTTGAGTCCCAGACCCAGTGGCTTAAACTCACGCCAGGCACATGTGTGTGCGTGCCCAAGATCCTGAGAGGAGAATGGAGGAGAAGGGATTGTAGCGTGGCCATCCCCCCAGGGGGTGATTTCTTGCTTTCTGTCTCTCCGTCTCTCTCTGTCTTTCTGATGAGCACACACACCCCATAGCAAAAATCTCTCAAACAAATTTTTAAAAAATGGGGTGGAGGTGGGAGGCTTGTTTCATGACACCTTCATCTTATTCCCTATATAAATATACTTTAAAAAATCTGTATGGTTATCAAATGTTCATTAACTCTTCACAGAGCTTTTAGTGTTACCATAGTATTACTTATTATTTTAACATATAAAAATTGTATTTTGCCTATGCAATAAAAATTACCTTAGGGAACATTTTTTTTTTTTTAATTATTGGTATGTGTAGGAAGATCTGGTAATGTCCCCTTATCTTCAGGAGATACTTTGTAAAACATCCAGCAAATACCTAAAACCTCAGATAGTACCAAACTCTGTATAAGGGGACTTCAAAAAGTTCATGGAGGGCCAGCAGTTAGCATAATGGCTATGTCGCTGGACTCCCACGTAGTTGACCGCGGTTTCCGTCCTGGACCTGGTGGCTTAAACTCACGCCAGGCGCATGTTCGTGCGTGCCCAAGATCTCAAGAGGAGAATGGAGGAGAAGGGATTGCGGCGTGGCCATCCCCCCGGGGGGTGATTTCTCGCTTTCTGTCTCTCTGTCTCTCACTGTCTGTTTAGCGAGTGCACACGCTCTATAGCAAAAACCTCTCCAAAAAAATAAATAAATAAAAGTTCATGGAGCGGCTAGAAGATGGTGTGGTGGTTGGGGTGCTGGACTCCCACATGATTGACCGTGATTCGGGTCCTGAACCTGGCAGCTTGCTTTCTCATGTTCCCTTTCTCTCTTTCTGTGTCTCTCTCTGCTTAAATTAAAATAAATAAATAAATAAATAATGATGAGTATTAAATTTTTTAAAATTTTTTGAAAAAAGTTAGTAGATAAATGGAATTAAAGTATGAGTTTACTTGGTACAAAAAATATTAATTTTTTTAGAGCGATTTTTGCTGTAGGGTGTGTGTGCTCACGAGAGAGAGACAGACAGACAGAGACAGTGAGAGGGAAAGAAATCACTCCCCGGGGGGTGGCCATAGTGCAATCCCTTCTCCTTCATTCTCCTCTCAGGATCTCAGGCACATGCGCTCATGGTCCTGATGTGAGTTTTAAGCCATCAGGTCCAGGACTTGAGCCGCAGTTGGCCAGGTGAGAGTCAAGTGTAACCATTACACCATCTGCTGGTCCCCCCAAAATTTAATTTTTTAAAAACAATTATTTTGTTAATTTTATTTGTTATTATTATTTTCAATTTTACCAGAGAGAGAGAGAAAGAGAGAGAGGGAAAGCAAGCCACCAGTTCCAGGACTCAAACCACGGTTGGCCATGTGGGAGTCCAGCGCCTTAACCACCATGCCATCTGCCAGCACCAAAAATATTCATTTTTTTAGAAATTTTCTTTCATGAGAGAGAGAGGAGGGGAGATCCCTCCCCCCAGCCCTCCAGCTGGTCAAGATCTTAAGTGTGCGCACACACCCCATGTGTTTCAGATTGTCTTGGAGTCTAAGCTTGTGGTCGGCCACATTGCTTCCAATACTGCAGGTCAGTACCCTACTGCCTGTGCCACCGTCCACAGATTTTTCATAACATGCATTTTCCATCAAAATTGTAAAGATCTTTCATATGTATAGTACTATGTTTTTTTCCTGTACATACATATCTATAATAAGGTTTATGAATTAGGCATAGAACAACAATAACAGTAAAATACTTTTTTTGGAGAAGTTTTTGCTATAGGATGCGTGTGCTCGCCAGACAGACAGAGAGAGAGAGAGACAGAGAGACAGAAAGCAAAATATCACCCCCCAGGGGGGATGGCTACACCACAATCCCTTCTCCTCCGTTCTCCTCTCGGGATCTTGGGCACGCCCGCAAACACGCCCAGCGTGAGTTTTAAGCCACCGGGTCCAGGACGCGAACTGTGGTCGACTACATGGGAGTCCAGTGGCATAGCCCTTACGCTAACTGCTGATCCTTAATAGTAAAATAATTTTTTAGCAATACACTATAATAAAAGTTATATGAATGTGGTTTCTCTCTCTCAGAATATCTTATTGTACTACACTGACTTCTTATTATTTTTTTGGAGAAGTTTTTGCTATAGGGTGCATGTGGTTGCCAGAAAGACAGAGACAAAGAGACAGGAAGCGAGAAATCACCCCCCAGGGGGGATGGCCACATCGCAATCCCTTCTCCTCCATTCTTCCCTCAGGATCTTAATTTGACCAGAGAGGGACAGAGCAAGAGAGAGAGGGGGAAAGTGAGAAAGTAAGCCGCCAGGTCTGGGACTTGAACCATGATCAGCCATGTGGGAGTCCAGCACCCTTAACCACCATATCACCTGCTGACCCTATACTGACTTATTTTCAGAACTGAAACCATGGAAAGAGAAACCACAGATAAGGAGAGACTACTGTACTTCATGCAAACACGGTTTTGTTGTGTTTTCTTTGTTTATTTGTTTTTGCTAGAGAGTGTGCACAATTACCAGAGAGACACAGAGATGGAGAAAGAGGGAGGAAGTACCCCTCAATGAGGCATGGTCATGCTGCAATCTCTTCTTCATTTCTCCATCCAGTCAGGATTTTGGGCATGCACACATGTGCACCTGGTTTGTCAAGCCTCCAGAGCTGGTATTCAAACCATGCAGTTGGGCATGTGAAACCTAGCTGCCTTAACCACTATGACACAAAGTCAGCCCTTTTATATAATTATGAAAAAGACAGTGTCCTTGTCTTCAAAACACTTAAAATCCAAGAGATTGATAAAGTGACTGTATTAAAAATAGAATGAAATAAAAGCTAAATAGAAATATAAACATGCTATATGAGCAAAAAATAAAGCATAATTAATTTTTAAAAATTTTGCCATAGGATGCATGTGCTGACCAAAGAGAGAGAAAGTGAGAAAGCACTCTCACATTGGGAATGTTCATACTGCAATCCCTTCTCTATTTCTGCCTCCTGTTGGGACCTTTGGGCATGCATGCACATGTACTTGGCATGCTTCTCAAGTTGCCAGGTGCAGGACTTGAACCTCACAGTCAGCCATGTGAGAACCAACTGTCCTAATTACTATGCCACAGACTGGCCCAGTCCTTTTAGTTTTCCCTCCAGAGAGAATGTATGCTTGTCAGAGAGAGAAAGAGGGAGGGAGAAAGCACCCCCTATGGAGTGTGGTCATATCACAATTCCTTCTCTATTTCCCCATCCTCTTGGGATTTGGGACATGCACACACATGTGCCTTACAGTTTTCTTTTTTTTTTAAACTTGCCAGAGGGTTCAGGATGTGATATAGTGCTTAAGATGCTGGACTCCCAAATAGCTTACTTTGGTTCAAGTCCTGGATCCGGCTGCTTGAAACTCAGACTGGGTGTATGGGCATGTGTGCCCAAGATGCCAAGAGGAGAATGAAAGAGGATGGATTGCAGTGTGGCCAACCCCTCTTTGGGAGTGATTTCTCACTTATCGTCAATCGTCTCTGTCTCTTTGGTAAGCGCACACTCCCTACGGGGAAAAAATCTTAAAACAAAAAAAGAAAGAAAAAGAAAACATTACCAGAACATGCATGGGCTCACTGGAGGAGACAGAGAGAGAGTAAGGGAAAGTGAGAAAACACCCCCATGGAGTATGGTCTCACTGCAATCCCTTCTCCATTTCTCATTTCTTTTGGGATTTTGGGTATACATGCAAACATACCTGGCATGGTTTTTGAGTTGCTGGACCTGGACCTCAGACTATGCAGTCAGGCATATGGGATCTGGCTGCCTTAACCACCACACTACTGGCTGACTTGTGCCTGGCATTTTTCTCAAGTTGTTGTGTCTGGGACTCAAACTTACACACCTGGCCATGTGGGATCTGACTCCCTTAACCACCAGGGCCCAGTGTAGGCCCAAAGTATAATGAATTCTAATGAGTTGTGAAGAAGATTTTATAAGAAGATGTAGAATATCATCTTTTTTTTTTTTTCCGCTATAGGGCGTGTGTGCTCGCCAGACAGACAGAGACATAGAGACAGAAAGCGAGAAATCACCCCCCAGGGGGGATGGTCACGCCGCAATCCCTTCTCCTTCATTCTCCTCTCGGGATCTTGGGAACGCACGCACACGTGCCCGGCGTGAGTTTTAAGCCACCGGGTCCTGGACGCGAACCGCGGTCGACTACGTGGGAGTCCAGCGACATAGCCATTACGCTAACTGCTGGTTCCCTAGAATATCATCTTGAATAATAATGATAACATTTTTCTTTTCTTTTTTTTTTTTTAGAGGTTTTCGCTATAGGGTGCTTGCGCTCGCCAGACGGACAGAGAGAGACAGAGAGACAGAAAGCGAGAAATCACCCCCCAGGGTCCCGCAACATAGCCATTACGCCAACTGCTGGTCCCCAATAATAACATTTTTCTATTTTGGGGGAGCCGG